TAATGTATACTAGGTATCTTGAGATGGATCCCAAAATCTGGATTATTTGTGTGTGTCTTAATTTTCTTATTTGACATGCCTACTTATTTTGTTCTCTATACAGTTTCTGTTGTTAATGCTGCGAACGTCTCTGCTCAAGTCAGCAACATCCCAATATTGAGCGAGACGAACTTTAAAGTTTGGAAATAAGCCATGGAAATTGTCCTCGGCTGTATGGATTTGGATCTTGCATTCGTTCAGATCGACCCGCTTCTACTCCGGAAAACCCCAATGAGGTAAAATTGAAAAGTGGGATTGCTCTGACCGAATGTGCTTGATGATCATGAAACGTTCCATTCCGGAAGCGTTTCGGGGCTCTATTACTGAGAGCAGGAGTGCCAAGAAGTTCCTTGAAGAAATTGAGCAATATTTTGCCAAGAATGAAAAATCGGAGGCGAGCAACCTTTTGGCCAAACTCGTTTCCATGAAGTATAAGGGCAAAGGGAACATAAGGGAGTACATCATGGAGATGTCTCATCTCGCATCAAAACTCAAGTCGCTTAAGTTGGAGCTGTCTAATGACTTGCCCGTGCACTTGATTTTAATCTCTCTTCCTACGCACTTTGGGCAATTCAAAGTGAGTTATAACACTCAGAAGGACAAATGGTCCCTAAATGAGCTTATATCTCACTGTGTGCAAGAAGAAGAGAGGCAACAACGCGATAAGACTGAGAGTGCTCACTTGACCTCAACCTCTCAGAACAAGAAAAAGAAGAGAGCTAAGAATGCTGTGGAAGGAACTTCTCAGCAGAAGAAGCAAAAGAAGCAGGATAAGGAGTTTACCTGCTACTTCTGCAAGAAGTTGGGACACATGAAGAAGGAGTGTCTCAAGTACGCTGCCTGGAGTGTAAAGAAGGGTATGCTTCTAACTTTAGTTTGTTCTGAAGTTAATTTAGCTTCTGTACCTAAGGATACTTGATGGGTAGATTTTGGTGCTACTACTCATATAAGTATGTCCATGCAGGATTGCCTGTGGAGCCGATCGCCAAATGATGCTGAAAGATTCATCTTTGTAGGTGATGGCAATAAAGTTGCGTTAGAGGCTATAGGGACTTTCAGATTACAATTAAAAACTGGGTTTTATTTGGATTTGTTTGAGACATTTGTTGCACAGTCCTTTAGACGGAATTTAATTTCTATTTCTAGTTTGGACAAATCAGGATTTTCTTGTTCATTTGGAAATAATAAAGTTAGTCTCTATCAAAATTCAAATTTTGTTGGTTCCGATTATATGATTGATAATCTGTATATACTTGATATTGTTAGTTCCTATAACGATATACTGCAAACAAGTTCACGTGGTACAAAGCGAAAATTAAGTGAAAATTCTGCCACTTTATGGCACAAGCGTTTAGGTCATATCTCTAAGCAGAGAATTCAGAGGCTTGTGTCGGATGAAATTCTTGAACCCCTAGATTTAACAAACTTCCAAGTTTGTGTTGAGTGCATCAAGGGGAAAAGAACAAATATGAGAAAATTAGGTGTCGAGAGAGCTATAAACGTCTTAGAACTGATACATATTGATATCAGTGGCCCATTCCCTACGGCTTCTTGGAATGGACAACAATACTTAATTACGTTCATAGACGATTACTCTAGATTCGGTTACCTATATTTAATACACGAGAAGTCTCAATCCCTGGATGTTTTCAAGTCTTTTAAAGCTGAAGTTGAACTTCAACTTGGAAAGAAAATAAAGGCTATCAAATCTGACCGTGGTGGTGAATACTACGGAAGATATGATGGATCAGGAGAACAACGTCCAGGACCCTTCGCTATTTTCCTCAATGAGTGTGGAATTGTTCCGCAATACACCATGTCGGGCAAACCTAGTATGAATGGTGTTGCAGAACGACAAAACAGAACTCTTAAGGATATGGTAAGGAGTATGATAAGTCATTCCTCCTTACCAGAGTCACTTTGGGGAGAAGCTTTGAAGACCGCAGTGTACATTCTTAACAAGTACCAAGCAAGGCAATTGCCAAAACCCCTTATGCTGTGGACAGGCAAGAAGCCTAGCATTAAGCACTTGCACATTTGGGGTTGTCCAGCTGAGGCATGGCCTTATAGGCCACATGAAAGAAAACTGGACTCAAGGACGGTTAGCTGCTATTTCGTTGGTTACGCTGAACGCTCTCGGGGCTATAAGTTTTACTATCCCACATCAAGATCCTTCTTTGAAACGAGAAATGCGAGATTCCTTGAGGATATTGGGTTTGGAGGGGAAGGAAACATAAGGAACGTTGTCTTTGAAGAAGAATCTGTTATTGACAGCAATCAGGTCTCTGTACCTATTGTTGTTCAAGACACAGTTCTAGCAATAGATGACAATGTTCAGGCTCATATTCCTGACATTGTTTCAGACCAAGACAACAATGAGATTCTTCCTTAAGCACCACCTATAGAACAAACTCAACAACCTCAAGAAGTGCTATTAAGGAGATCCACTAGAGAGAGAAGAAATGCGATTTCAGATGATTATATCGTCTTTCTTCAAGAACATGAGGATGGCATTGGTTTAACGGAGGATGACCCGATCAACTTCCATCAGGCCATGCGCAGTTCTAACTCTCAGAAGTGGATTGATGCCATGAAAGATGAGATAAAGTCTATGAAAGATAATGACGTTTGGGATCTCGTCGAGTTGCCTAAAGGTGTGAAGCCCATTGGTTGTAAGTGGATATTTAAAACCAAGAGGAATTCAAAAGGCAGTGTCGAGAGATATAAAGCTCGTCTAGTCGCTAAAGGCTTTACTCAAAAGGAAGGCATAGACTACAAAGAGACTTTCTCTCCGATATCTTCGAAAGACTCTTTTAGAACAATAATGGCACTAGTGGCTCATTTTGATCTAGAGCTACATCAGATGGATGTCAAGACTGCGTTTCTCAATGGAGACATTGATGAGACGATTTACATGGTACAACCAGAAAGCTTTGTATCAGGAGATCCAAAGTCTATGGTTTGTAAGTTGAAGAAATCCATCTACGGTCTCAAACAAGCTTCCCGTCAATGGTATCACAAGTTCCATCAAATCATTACCTCGTACGGTTTTGAGGCAAATGTTGTTTATGACTGTGTATATCATAAGTTCAGTGGGAGTAAATATATCTTCTTGGTATTATATGTTGATGATATTCTACTCGCTAGCAGCGATATAGGCTTATTGCATGAAACCAAGAAATTTCTGACGAAGAAATTCGAGATGAAAGACCTTGGGGATACTTCTTTTGTATTAGGTATTCAGATACTAAGAAATCATTCCCAAGGTATCCTTGGACTTTCACAAAAGAGCTCTATCGATAAGGTTTTGAGTAGATTTGGCATGAAAGATAGTAGACCAGGAGACACAACCATCTCTAAAGGAGACAAGTTTAGTCTCAAACAGTGCTCCAATGATGATCTTGAAAGAGAAGAGATGCAGAAGATTCCCTATGTATCAGTGGGAATCTAATGTACGCTCTAATTTGTACTTGTCCCGACATAGCATTTATAGTGGGAGTTTTGGGTAAATACTTGAGTGATCCTGGCATGCAACATTGGAAAGCAGCCAAACGCGTGATGCGTTATTTAAGGAGAACAAAAGACTACATGCTCACTTATCAGAGATCAGATAGTTTAGAGATCATCGGGTTCTCTGACTCTGATTTTGCAGGATGCCAAGATAGCAGACGCTCCACATCAGGCTACGTCTTTATGTTGGCTGGAGGAGCTATCTCATGGAAGTCTGCTAAACAGACTCTCATAGCTTCTTCAACCATGGCTGCGGAGTTCATTGCTTGTTATGAGACATCCAACCTTGGAATATGGCTACGAAACTTTATCACTGGACTATGAGTGGTAGATGGCATTGACAGGCCATTAAAGATTTATTGTGACAATAACTCAGTGGTGCTTTACTCCAACAACAATAGGAGTTCGACAAAGTCGAAATTCATTGATATCAAGTTTCTAGTTGTTAAGGAGAGAGTTCAAGATAAACAAATTTCCATAGAACATATAGGAACAAATTCCATGCTAGCGGACCCACTAACCAAGGGCCTAAGGCCGAAGGTCTTTCATGAGCACACTGCTCACATGGGAGTTATTTCCGAGGATATTCTAATCTAGTGGGAGTCAATTTTATGTTCTATATGTTTGCTTTATACATTAAATTATTTGACCTTCTGCAGAATAAAGTTGATGGTCTATGATTCTATTTCTGAGTTTGCTTGTGTTTTCATTGTGCAATGTTTGCATTGCATTAAGGACTTTGGAATGATTTCACTAAAGACTAAAGAAGGACCAGTTGGAAATAGGCATGTTTGAAATCACATTTCATGTAAATTTCCATGCTACTCATCCATATTTGATTTATGTCATTAAGTGTATTAATATGTTGATCATCGTGGTTTAATCACTAATGTATTGTGATGAAAGTTGCGGTGGTTCCATTATTAGTATATGAGATTGACAAGATTGTTTAAGGAGCAGTCTAATGATAAATAGCATACAGATGCGCACCTAAGGAGTTTTGTAATATAATTGTTTAAAGAATAATATGTAGCCAAGTGGGAGATTGTTAGAAAAACACGATTTTCCTAAATTAATATTGGCAACATATTAATACAATTATATTAGCTATTTAATATAATGGGCAAAAATCAAGTGGTATATTTTTTGTATGCCCATAGACTACTCAAATTAATATGGACTAAGTGAGTAGATACCGGCTAATATTACTCTAATTAAGGGATAATGGGAACCTTAATTAAGTAGTATATAAAGGTTATTTTGGTTATGGTCCCCAATATACCAAATCATACACTCTTTTCCATTCTTCCCATCAAGAAGAGAAATCACGGTCCCATTGAAGAATAAGGAGATTTGGTTGAGAAAGATCACAAAACCACCCTCTTCATTTGCATTCATCGGTACATAGTCGATTGTCGCAGTAATTCCGCAACAGTAGGCAATCGTTTACAATGGATACAAGTATATTATCTGAATCTGTGAATCATAGTAATTTAGCATGATGTTGATCCTAGGATTTAATTTATATTTGGATCTAATTTGATTTTCTAACATGGAATTGTTAGATTTGTCCATCAACACTCTTCATGGAAACATCCCACAAGAATTGGGACGTCTATCCAGCTTAAAAACGTTTAGTTTGTCCTCCAGTAGCTAGTCTTCAGGGTCAAATACTTGATTCCATCTTCAATCTCTCCATGTTACAAATACTTTCTTTTTCTGATAATGGTATCTCCGGCAATCTTCTATTGTCAATTGCCAATGGGCTTCCTGATCTTGAATTTCTCTATCTTGGTGGCAATTGATTGAGTGGCGAAATTCCAGCCTCTATTTCAATTTTTTTCTAAGCTTATTCATTTGGGTCTAGATAACAGCTTTGTTAGGTTTTTTGATACCCAATAATCCTGGCGATGATTTAAAATAGTTGTCGGATTATTTATTGACACCATGAACTTGGCTCGACTCGAAAACGAACTACAATTTTAAATGGCTTGGGTTAAGGTTGGATGGTTTTTTGGTTAGTTGGACCATTTAGTGATTAATATGAAGTTGGATATTAGCCCATTAATTTAGATTAATTGGTAGCCCACTTAGTGAACCTTTGACCCAATTGGAGTAACCTAAACTAACCCTATATATATATATATCCATCTTCTTGCAGCCCTTTTTGTGTGGTGTGTGGGCGTGTGTTGAGAGAGGGAGAGAGGGCTGAGAGAGGAGGCCGAGAGTGGTGAGGGGGCAGCCGGCTTGGTGGCCGTTGGAGTGAGTCCACCATTGTTGCTTCTTCTTCCTCCTATCACCACCACCATCCCTTCTCATTTGTGGAGTTTGAGAGAGTTTGGGCAGTCCAAAGTGAAGAAGAGTTTTTGGGTCGAGCCAAGGTAAACTAGTGTTCGTTTGATTGTTTTCTGAGCCCGAAATCAAGATTTATAGAGGGATTTCCGCTACAAACTCCTTCAGTGGACGAGTGCCCAAGAATCTTGGGAATTTACAGAACCTACAGATTCTAATTTTCAAGAGAAATCAGCTTACAAATGATCCTTCAATGCTTGAATTGGATTTTCTTACTTCATTGAAAAATTGTAGGAAGTTGAAGATCATAGACATGGAATTCAATTCTTTTGATGGAATATTACCAAAATCCTTCGATAAATTTTCAGCATCTGTGGAATCTTTCATTGCCTATCAATGTGGTATTAAAGGTATCATTCCAAAATGAAATTGGTAATATGAGCAGCTTGGTCTAGTTAGAAATTGGAGGTAATGAACTGACTGGAACAATTCCTAACACACTGGGTCAATTAAGAAAATTGCAAAAGCTGAGACTTGACGCCGATAAACTAAGGGGGTCTTTACCTGTCAACCTTTGCAATTTGGTAAAAGTGTATTTTCTAGATTTGAGGAGTAATCAGCCTTCTCAACAGCTATCAAATTGTTTAGGAAATCTTACCTCTTTACAAAAAATTTATTTAGCTTACATCTCATTGACTTCCACTATCCAATCCACACTGTGGACTAACAAAGAAATTCAGATTTTGAATTTTATCTTATAATTATTGGCTGAATGGGTTGCTGGCTCCAGAAATTGGCAACATTAAGAGCATGAGAGAGTTATATCTATCGGAAAATTGATTCTCAAGTGATATTCCAAGCACCATTGGACAACTTAGTATTTGGAAAATCTAGCACTATCAAACAATCGGATACATGGTCCTATACCTGAGTCGTTAGGTAATCTGATTTCATTGCAAAATTTGGATCCATCTAACAACAGTCTTGATGGTGTAATCCCCGAGTCATTGGAGAAACTTGTGTACCTTGAGTATTTCGATGTTTTGTTCAATGAACTAAGTGGTGAAATTCCAAATGGAGGGCCTTTTAGAAACTTCACATCAAATTTTTTCATAAGCAATATAGAATTGTGTGGAGCATCTAAATTTAAGGTCAAGCCTTGCAAAGATAATAAAACTAGATTATCTAGCAGTTCCAGAGTTTTGATGTCTATTTTACCATCAATTGCTGTGGTATTTATTCTGGCCATTACTGTGGTATATTTAATAAGACGTCATAGCAGAAATATATTTCTTTCAGCTCAGTCTACTTCCCCTAACACCATCAAGAGGATTTCATATTATGAAGTTTTGCTACCAATGAATTTGGTGAAGAGAGTCTGATTGGTTAAGGCAGTATTGGTTCAGTGTACAAGAGAACTTTTTCTAATGGAATGATTTGCTGCTATTAAGGTTTTTAACCTAGATTTGAAAAATGCAAACCAAAGTTTTGATACTGAGTGCCAAATGCTTTGCAATGTTTGTCATAGAAATCTTGTCAAGGTAATTTGTAGTTGCTCTAACCTTGATCTTAAAGCATTGGTGCTGGAATATATGCCTACTGGAAACCTTACCAAATGGTTGTCCTCGAGTTACTATTCCTAAATTTGAAGCCCGATAACATACTTTTAGATGAAGATATGGTTGCCCATGTTGCAAACTTTGGCATTGCCGGGCTTTTCACTGAAGACCAGAGAATTTTGATTACCAAGACGTTGGGCACAATTGGATATATTGCTCCAGGTAAATGGTTTCTGTCATCTGCATGTGTGTAGTGTCATGCTAATAGTGTGACCGTGTATTACTTATTAGCTCTTATTTATTCATCCATCATTTAACATTTGACTAGCTAATTTGATCGCACGCCCCAATTTTGTAGAGTATGGATCAACTGGATTAGAATCAACTATGGTGGATGTTTACAGTTATGGGATTATACTGATGGAAACATCTACCAAAAAGAAGCCAACAGATGATATGTTTGCCGAAGAGTTCACAATGAGGAAATGGATGCTTGAATAATTCCCAGATGCAATAATGCAAATAGTAGATGTCGATTTAGTGAATGCTATTGAAGATAATATTCAAGCTAAGGAGAGTACTTCAAATTAATCATGGAACTAGCACTAGAATGCATGATTGATTTGCCAAAGGAGAGGCTCATTGCTAAAGATGTTCTAACAAGGCTCAAGAAGATCAAAAATTAATTTTGTTAAAGCATAACTGAGGTTGAACAAAACAAAAGGATTGCTTCTTATTGAGGACACGAAAAATTGCTTATTTGAATCAAAATCTATATTCTTTTTTCACTAGTAATCTTTAAAGCTTATTATATGTTGCTGTTGCAGGAAACTTGGCTATCATTCTGAAGATTTTTAAGCTCTGTTGGTTTCTTGCAGTGTGTTGTAGCTGTTTTGTGGACCCAAAATCTGTGCTGCAAAGTAATTTGGTTTAATGAATAAATAATTTTATGCATTTAGTGTCTAAAATTAGACAACGTTTAGATATCTTGTTAATCTACTGTAAGATGTGGTGGCATAAGAAAGCATTTTGGTACCATAAATTGTCTTCATTATGTGAGAACATTGTCACCTTTTGCTCTTATCCTCTTCATTTGCACCTGGCACCAGTCATTAATACAAAGAAGCATCAATTTATTAGTACAAAAAATCACCAAAATGAAGCTTTTTTGAAGTATACAAATTAAAAATAATGATTTAAGCTAATGAATGTTGAATTAATATACAAGAAAGGAAACAAGATGGAACCAAAATGATGTATAATTTATGAACTTCTATAGTCACTAATGAATTATTTGTCAAGGTATATAGTACATAATTCGGAGTATTGAGGAATAAAATAAATTTAAAATATTTTATACCGTACTATGTGGCTTATCCCATTAACTTGACAACCTTCACCACGCTCATCTAGCTCATCTCCTGCACCAGATGGCTCTTTATCACCACTAGAATCATCTAGCCCATTCACCTGCTCATGTCTCATAAGTCATAATCTTAACTGCAACCAATTAAAATTGAACTGATGAAGAGGGTCTTGCTGATTTTATAAACATGATAATGATGGGTAGAAGTTGTGATAGAAAATCACTTTTCACTCAATAAACAAACTTTCATTAATCACACAATATATAACAACTACAATAGAGTGATTCTCTCTCAAAAACTCTCTTATACAAATATAGAATTTGCAAACTCTCTTGTACAAATATAGAATTTGCACTTCTATCAAATAATTTAAAATACATGCCAATACACCTATTTATAGGAAAAAACTAAGAAGTGTTCAAGATGATCAAGTAACTCTTTTTAACTTCCTTTGGTAGAAGAAGTATTCAAAATGAACAAGTAACTTCCACCTCCATTAGAAGAAGAATTCAAAATGATTAAATATCTTCCACTTCTATTAGAGAAGAAGAGTTCAAGATGATTAAGCAACTCTTTAATAGCTATCGACCAATCGCGAGCTTTTTCTTAACCATGTAGTATTCTTCTATCCAATAAAACACTTTTGCTTAATGAAGTAGAATTTTTACCTAGTCATATATTCATCTTCGTACTTCTAAAGCTTCTTGATGATTTTGAACTTCTTCTTACTTCTAAAATTTCATTGGTCAAGTTTATACTACTTTCAACATCCCCGTTTAAACTTGACCATTCCAAGCATAAATTTATGTCTAGTAAACACATCATGTTTAAGTGGCTTAGTAAAAATATGTGCTGCTTGATTATTTATTCTGCATGGTAGTAGCTCCACTTCTTTCATCTTTATGTGTTCCTGAATAAAATGAAAACATGTATCTATTTGTTTGCTTCTTTCATGATGGACTGGATTCTTTGCAAGTACAATTGCTGATCGGTTATCAATATAAATCTCAGTTGAATTTTCTTGAGGGAATCCCAAATATGTCAACATATTGCGCAACCAAATAGCGTGACATACAGTTGAACTTACAGCAACATACTCATCTTCACAACTGGATAAAGTAACAATTGGTTGCTTTTTGGATGACCATGTGAATGCAGTTTCTCCAATAAAAAATACGAATTCGATTGTACTTTTTCTTTCATCTATATCTCTTTCCCAATCACTATCTGAATAACCAGCGAGCTTAAAATCATTAGTAGATGTATAAAGTAAGCCTTCATTGATTGTACCTTTAAGAGAGCAGAGTATTCTTTTTGCTGCATTAAGATGGGACCGATCTAGTGTCTCCAAGTATCTGCTGATCAATTCTACGCCATATAGTATATCCGGTCTGGTGCATGTTTGATATCTAAGGTTTCCAGCCAAGCTCTTGAAATATGTAGGATCAACATCACCATCTTCATTTTTGCGTAGTTTCAGTCCACTTTCAACTGGAGTAGTAATCGGATTACACTTCTCCATTCCAAATTTCCTTAAAATGTCTGCTGTGTAGGCACTTTGAGAAATAAAAATTACATCTTCTTGTTGCTTAACTTCAATCCCAAAAAAGTGCGCCATCAATCCAACATCAGTCATCTCAAATTCTTTCATCATATTCTCTTTGAAGGCTTCAAACATGGATGAATTATTGCATATAAAAGTCAAATCATCCACATATAAACAAATAAATAGTATACCTCCATCTTGTTCTCGTTTTACATATACTGCGTGTTCATACGGACAATGCATAAATTCATTCTTTCTAAAGTAATTTTCAATACGGGTATTCCATGATCGGGGGGCTTTCTTGAGTCCATAAAGAGCTTTTTTCAATTTATAAACTTTATTTAGTCGACCCTTTCGTATGTATCCTGGTGTTTGCTTCACATATATGTCTTCTTCAAGATATCCATTTAGAAATGTTGTAACGTCCCAATTTTATTTTATTTTTCTTTAAAATTTAAGTCGCTACCAAACGTTTCTTCAAAAATAAATGAGTTTATAATAATGTTATCCCAAAATAGTGTCAAGTGAAAGAGTAAAAGCTTTAATACATATATTCCTTTCATCCCTTTTATACAATTGATGCAACCACAAGGTATTTTACAACTTTTAAAATACACATTCCTGATTTTAATTGAAGTATATAGCCCCATGCATACTTTCTGGTTTTTATAAAAGTGTATAGCACCATACATGTATTCAATCATTGAATTTAAATCTTTTGATGATAAGTGACCATTAAAAAAAAAATAAAAAATAAAAAATAAAAAATATATATATATATATATAACTAACTGTTGACGTTTATGTAGTCACTTCTTCGTTTCAGCATCTAATAGTTTTAAAATGGTAGAAAGGTAAGATGGGATTTACACCAAATATCATAAATCTTAATTGAAATTCAAAGTGCAATTTAAACATTTAAAGAGATGGGAATGTTAATGTCCTAGAAAACATGCAACTAAATTTTTAGCGAACTTGTCCAAATAATTAAATTAAACATAAGTGTCTATTGCAATAATATTAAATAGAAATAAAGTTACGTGCTAGATTTTAGAGTTTTGTCCCATGAAATGAGGCACAACCACACCATCAAGCCGCTGCACTCCAACACAACTCGTACTAACCTGTAAGGTAGGGAAAAGGGATGAGTACAAAGAATACTCAGTAGGACACGATTAATGGTGCGATCCCGAATAAAATATTCAATCAGGCATCAAAATAATCATATCGTCGTATCATTTCTTTAGATTCCGGTAAGAGCTCATATCATATCATATCTTTGGTACCGGATGACCATTTCATATGATATCATAATCATATCGTATTATATCATAACTTTCATGAGTATAACATTTATCAACATGAAGAAATAAATTAAACGGGACTAACCACTTGCACCTTGTAATCCTACCTTAATTGATGAAAAGAGTTTTCTGGAAGAAAAGAAATAATTTTCACGTTCCACAATCTTATTCTCTACTGCCGTGTATGCAATGTGTGGTTGATATGTATTTATATATATCAAAAATCTTTTGGGAGCACTCAATTATGTGGGCACTTATTAGTCCTTAAATCTTGGGAGTGGTGTACGTGTAAACTGTGAAAGTTGCCCACAAATCTCCTATTCATACCCTATATTCACACGTTTTCCAAGAATCTTAACTAATTTATAATAAACCATGAATTCTTTAAATTTCAATATCTTTGGCTTAACTTATTCAAATCAACTGTTTCTCAAGCCTAACATACGTAATTAATTACGAGCTATCCAACGAGCCCAATATTAATGTATAAAATCTCATTCTATCAAAATTTAATTATTTGGCCCAACCAAAATATGAATTTAAAACTTATTCCATTTTAGTCCTCAAATTTTCAAAATATAAAAGATAGCATACACTTTTATTCTAAAATTTTCGGGGCGTTACAAATGTTGTCTTGACATTAAGCTGATAAATCTTCCATCTGTGTTGTGCAGCTAGTGAAATCAACAATCGAATTGTCTCCATGCGTGCAACAGGTGCAAATATTTCTCCATAGTCAATTCTTGCTTTTTGAGAGTTACCCTATGCAACCAACCTTGCTTTATACCTCTGAATTTCACCTTGTATATTCTTTTAAATTTTGTACACCCATTTTACTCCAATGGTCTTTTTTCCTTCAGGTAACTCAGTGAGCTTCCATATGTTGTTCTTCTCAATAGAACTAATTTCTTCATCCATTGCTTTCTACCATCTTTATCTGTTGACGCTTCTTCAAAAGAAAGTCACTGTCAGCTAATAAACAAAGCAATTCATATTGTTTACCTTGTTGTTCAGTGGCATCATAAATATCCCTCAAGCTTCTCGTCTTTCTTGGCCCTTCTTTAGAGGATGATTCTGATGAAGATGATGATTCTTCTTATGTTGTTAGTGAGCTGGATACAGCTGTTTGTGTACCGCTTGCTCCACTATTTAGTGGTTGAAATTCTTCTTGCTCAAGAATTAAACGAACTTGCTTAACGTCTTTAGCATTCTCCCAATTCCAAGCTTTATCCTCTTCAACGATTACGTCTTGACTCGTGATAATATCTTTTGTAATGGGATTGTATAACTTGTATCCCATTATCCTATCATCAAAGCCAATAAAGATACATTTCTACCCTTTGTCATCAAGTTTAGGTCTTCTTGCTTCTAGGATCTTTACATACGCTATACATCCAAACACTCGAAGGTGATTTGCAGTAGGCTTATATGTGATCCAAGCCTCTTCAGGTGTTACTCCGCGAACATTCTTGGTAGGATATCGATTCAATAAATATACTGTAGTTGAAACTACTTTAGCCTAAAATCCTTTAGGTAATTTCTTATCTTTTAACAAACTTCTCACCATATCGAGTATTGTGTGGTTCTTTCGTTCAGCTACGCCATTCAATTGGGGAGTATAAGTTGGTGTGAACTATTGTCTGATGCCATTCAAATTACAAAAGCTTTTAAATGCATCAAAAGTATATTCTCCTCTTTGTTCTGACTGTGATATCTTTATGTGATAGCCACTTTGTTTTTTAACACTGGACTTGAATTCTTTAAATGCATTCAACACCTTTGACTTTTTCTTGAGAAGTATACCCATGTTTTTCTACAATAGTCATCAATAAAGGTAAGAAGGTACCTATTTTGTTCGTTCAATATTGGCTTCAACAGCCCACATATATCTATATGGACCAACTCCAGTGGCTTCTTTGCTCTCCAATTTGTTTCCCTTGCAAAATTTGTTCTTGCGTTCTTGCCAAGAACACAGCTTTCACAAACTTCATTCGAATGATCAATGTTTGGCAACCACTTCAACATCTTTTTCTTTGACAACATTCTTAATCCTTCAAAATTGAAATATCCAAGTCTCAAGTAGCACAACCAATTCTTATAATTTGTAATGGCACTTAAACATTTTGGTGAGTTATAAGGAATGTTTAAAGCAAACATTCTATTTTTAGACATTCGTATTTGGAATATTGGATATTCACGATCATCTTTGATTATCAGGCGGGAATCTTTTAAACTAATGTCATATCCCTTTTCTAGGAGCTGTCCTAGACTTAATAAATTATGCTTGATATCCAACACATAATAAATATCAGTAATATAAATGTGACCACCATTATTGAGCTTGATTAAAATGTTATCTCTTCCTTTTACTAGAACTTTGGAGAGGTCGCCAAAAGAGACATGGCCATGCGGAGTTTCATCAAGCTCCATGAACATATGCTTTTTTCCACACATATGATTGCTTGCTTCGATATCTAAAAACCATATATTTTCATTAACTGTTGTTGTATGATGAGTCATCAATATCAGTGATTTTGGCTCACTTGTATCACCAACGTTGGTATTTTCGTCGACTTCAACTTCAGCAATTTTTACATGACATTCGTTACTATAATGTCCATACTTGTGACAGTTATAACACTGCACGTTCCTTTTGTCACCAATTTGATGATTAAAACCATTTCTGTGTCTTTCTTGTCCTTTTCTTTGTCCTCTACCTCAACCTCTTTATTGTCCTTTTCCTCTTTGATAAAATGTTGTTGAATTTCATGTCAACCGTTGATGCTAAATCTTCCTCCTCTTCCTCTATTATTAAGACCCCGTCCTCTTTGAAATCAGCCCCCTTCCTCAACTGTGAAGCAAAAGATTTGATGCAATGCTTGATCAAGAGATTTTGATGAAATTTTTTTTTTATTGATTCGTTGTTCATGGATCTCTAGAGAAGCTAATAGTTCATCAACAGTCATAGTACTGAGGTCATTAGATTCTTCAATTGCTATGACTACATTATCAAATTTCGAATTTAGGGAACGAAGAATTTTTTCTATTACCTGCAAATCTTTGATCTTTTCTCCATTGCGCTAGATATTGTTCACTATAGTGAGGACTCGAGTAAAATATTCCAAGATTGACTCGCTATCAAGCATCTCCAATGTTTCAAATTCGTTTTTCAGTATTTGTAGGTGAATTCTCATTGTCTTTTCGATACCTTGAAATGAATTTCAAAGTGCATCCCATGCTTCTCTTGCGTTTGTAATATAAGCAATCTTCTCAAAATTTCCTTCATCTACTATTTGATATATGAGGTACACGGCCTTCTGATCTTTCTTCCTTGCTTCCTTGAGTACTGCCTTTTCAGTTTCACTTAGTATGTCTTCATCGGCTTTAGACGTAGGTTCTGTATAACCTTTCTCCACCATTTCCCATAGATCTTGGGATGCTAAGAGCATCTTCATTTGTATGGTCCAATTCTCATAATTCTCCTTTGTTAGCCTTGGTAGTTTTGGCTGGAAAAACTAGTTGAGGAGGCCATATCTAACTGGAAACAAAGATTTTATCACTCTCTTTTATTCTTTGTTGGCTCTAATACCACTGATGGGTAAAAGTTGTGATAGAATATCACTTTTCACTCAAATAAACAAACTTTCATTAATCACACAATATATAACAACTACAATAGAGCAATTATCTCTCAAAAACTCTCTTATACAAACATAGAATTTTCACTTCTTCCCGATAGTTTAAAATACATGCCAATACACCTAGTTATAGGAAAAAAACTAAGAAATGTTCAAGATGATCAAGTAACTCTTTTTAACCTCCTTTGGTAGAAGAAGTATTCAAAATGAACAAATAACTTCCACCTCCATTAGAGAGAGAATTTAAAACGATTAAGTAACTTCCACTTCCATTAGAGAAGAAGAGTTCAAGATGATTAATCAACTCTTTAATAGCTATCGACCAATCAAGAGCTTTTCCTTAACCATGTAGTACTCTTCTATCCAATAAAACACTTTTGCTTAATCAAGTAGAATTTTGACTAAGTCATATATTCATCTTCATACTTCTAAAGTTTTTTGATGATTTTGAACTTCTTCTTTCTTCTAGAATTTCATTGGTCAAGTTTACACTACTTTCAACAAGTTGATCTCAAAAGGAAACCAGACTGAAGTTTTACCCATTGCATGAATATATAATTTGCTTAGTACTTCATAATGCTATTTTTTACACTACGAAGAACTAATAGACAGCTCTCGCTCCAGGGAATGGCTGATTGCATCATTGGAATGAGAAGTGCTTTACGACCAATTACGAGAAAACCTTGACACATTGGGTTCGTCTTTTTCATGGGAGCACATAACCAAGCAGGTTTTACTTCTTATCAATCACTCGATGTTTTTATTTATTTTTATTTTTTATAACTTCTTGAAATGCTATCAATATGTGAATTCTACAATCATTTTTTATTATTGTTAATAGATTGGGATGTTTGCTTGTTGAGAACTATGAGCCCTAATTCTATTCTACCGAGAGCAATCAATTTTAAAAAATGAAATAAAAACACACAAAGATTCCTTTTCCTTAATAGAATTTTAAAAAAATAAAAATTTCTAAACAGTCTTCAATTAAATTTTGGTCCGAGAGTCTCCAACCCCGATCCCCCGCGATGGGCATCTTGCCCCCAATCAACCCCCACGACGACCTCACCATGGAGGTTGATTTGCAAATAGCTCCATAAAGTGGCAATAATTAGGATGGAGCAATAATTAGGCTACAAAAGTTAACATTGCTATAGTAGGATGACTCCTAAATAAGTTGATCGCTTGACAAAGGAGTTTCACTTAACACGACTTATAATGGCTGTAGTTGGTAACATATCTTCTTATTTCTAGTCTATTAGCTAAATTTGCTTTTTCCGTTTTCTTTTTTATTTTTGAAGTCTAGGATGTTAAGATTTGGGCTCCATCTTAATAAGGTCAACCTTATTAAGAGGAGTGGCCCAAGATCTATAGTAAGATGACTCCTAAATAAGTTGATCACTTGACAAAGGAATTTCATTTAACATGACTTACAATGGCTGTAGTTGGTAACATATCTTCTTATTTCTAGTTTATTAGCTAAATTTGATTTTTCCGTTTTATTTTTTATTTTTGAAGTCTAGGATGTTAAGATTTGGGGTCCATCTTAATAAGGTCAACCTTATTAAGAGGAGTGACCCAAGATCTATTTAAGTTGGTCAATATTTCGGTATTTAACCGATGTGAGATTTATTCCCTTAACATGCCCCAGCAAGATGGTGGTTCTTTTTTAGCAAATCAATCTTGAAATCCGTGTGCTCATTTTTTCGACTTAATCGGATCGAATAACTCGTTGGAGCTTAATGGGCTCTGATACCATGTTAAGATTTGGGGTTCATCTTAATAAAGTCAACCTTATTAAGAGGAGTGACCCAAAATCTATTTAAGTTGGTCAATATTTCGATATTTAACCAATGTGGGATTTATTTCCTTAACATAGAAAACTTGCTGAACACAGTATGGCTGGAGTCACTATGGGAAATGTTGGTTACCAGGGAAAATGCTATTCATGAGGTCACTAAATCGGCTTAGGGAGTCACACCTTTACATATACAAAAGAGTTAGTTTTGTTTATCCTTTAACCCTTCTAGGAAATGAACTGAATTTTTACACACAGCATCGTTCCCCAGATTGTTCATTAAGCGTTCAATAGTTAGAGACGTGGATCAAGAGCTAATAATTTTATCTCTCTTGATTTGGTGGACAAACATTCTGTATGCCCTTTGTAGTAAGTGTAGTAATAATTTGTAGACAGGGTTCCATCTATTAAGAAATTCCATTGCATTAACACTGCATATTTGTCAACAATTAAGACAAAGGAAAGCTGCATTGACTCTGATATCACATTTTCCTGTCCATTATGTGATGTTTGAACTTCAATTACTTTCAATGTTAGTCATTGTGTCAGCTCGTATTTCTAAATTTTGATGTGGCAATAGTACGTCAATGTCAAAAATTGACAACAATCTTATATGATTTTGCCTTTTGAGCCAATTTTGTCGTTTATTGATGTCATGGCTGAAAAATTGAAAATAAATAGTGTTCAAAAAATGGTAATTCATCCCCCTATGTTAAAATTTTGTACATTGTGGTATAGTTATCTATGGGGACTAACATATGATTGAAACATTTAGTTTAGCCCCTATTTGATTTTGATATTAGATTTTGATAAAAGGTCATGAAATTTTGGTTGAAAAGTTGATAAAAGTTGAGGCTATTATCTAATGTATTGTTAAAAAATGAGTTTTAAAAGATGAAAATCAAACGGGAACTTCGTGACTAGGTGATTAACATTGAGAATAAATTGAATTTGAGTGATTTGTGGGAGAAATTAATGTAGGACAATCTAATAGATGTTTCATTTACAAATTTTAGTGATTAAAAATGAAGTTTACCCTATATTTGATGTCTTATACATTGTGACATGTTTAGCACTTCAAATTGAATTAGACTAGCATTTCATCAAACATTAAAATTAAGTGCATGAGGTTGGAGGAAGGAAAATAGACAATTTTTCTTAAAAATGTGCCTAAATGCTAAGCACGGGCGAAATGCCACGCTTTGGCATAAACACAAAATTAAGCGATCAACTTGCGTTTAATGCTTAGTCGCGCTTCATTAATTTTTTTTTTCCTTTTTTCTAAAACCTTTTATTTGATTTTTATTAATTTAACATTTTATTGGAAACTTCGAAAGTATGTATGAAGTTTCTATAAATCTATTAAGTAGAACTTGTTTAGTTAAAACTTGAAACTTGAAAAAAATAGTCTAGCTTTCACATTTTAAAGACTTCGAAATTGTATAATTGACTAATTATAAAAATTAAGTTAATATAGTGTTTTATATTTAGATGTTTGGTATGTGTTATTTTAATTATTAAATAGTTTTAAAATAACATAAAAAATTAAGAAATGCTTTTTTCCCTTAGATCTCGCATGGACTCGTAAAGCTTAAAACTTTACATTCACACCTAGCGATGCTTTATTGTTTTCAGAATACTAAAAATAGGAAAGCCTATTTGAAATTTTTTTTGGCTAAGATTATAACCCAATCAAACGTCATTTTAGCCATATATTTATTGAACTCACAACTTTTATGCACTTTTAAATTACACATTTCATGAGATCCACTAACTTATAATCTTAAAAGCTTTGTCAAAATGGGAGCTTTTAGCAACAACCTAACACAGTATAAACAACATAGAAAGAAGTGAAAACAATATATACTACAAGAAACCCCTCGGGATCTTTTGTTCCTTAATGAAATATGCTCCGTTTAACTTAAAATGGTCATTTATAATACAATTCCACCAAAAAGAATATACGGAAGCAATAAAAACTCGTTTTACTCAGCGAACATACTATACATTTGAACTTTCCAGTTTACCTGAACAACCATTTTACATGCTAACATATTTTTGCGGCGTAAAAAACCACAGACTTCGACAAAAACACTTGATCATAAAAATACGTAGAGCCTTTTGTTCGCTACATACCCATTAACACCACCATGAGCACAATACATTGTAGCGATTATCACGTCCTAACAGGATGTGGAAAACTCATACTAGCTTGTCTCTGAATATGCTCCGGAATCAGCCGGTAGATCAACTCAAGTGATGCTCCAACCAACTGCAATCAGGAGAATTTGATGTTAAATAATTAATAACTGCAATACTCGTACACAAGTTGTTTTAGGCTTCATTTAGTGAAGGTAATTGAAAAACCACATAGAACGCTATGTTCACCAATTCAATTTTTAATATTACCAAGTTTACATTCTAGTCAATTGATTACTTCGACCTTACGGGCAGAATTATACTAATTAAAGTAACACGTCATTTTTAATTAGTTTTAGATGATTGAACGTACAATCCAATTAGTTTATTCGGCCATGGGTTGAAACACATGAATGAGTTAGGTTGATTTGATTTTAGATCAAATTGACCTTGTTGGTTTGGGTTTGGGTTTGGGTTCGGTAAAAAAGGGACTCAATCCAACCCATGCGCAACCCCTACTTCAATTAGACAATTGGGTGAGCAAGGACACCAAAGTCATAATTTTCGAATTGAGCTAGCAGGCACACGAAGACATTATTTACACATTTTCAATTCCCATTTTCAGAGTGTGTGGTCCCCACTTCTGAAATTATTGTATCATTTTGACCAAGACAGCTACCATTTTTTGACTTTTCTATGCAGCATTCCACGTCATTTTTCGAAATTGTCCTTGTTTGATACCTATTTTTTCAAATACATTTTTTTCTTTTTTTTAATCACACGTTATTCAATAAAATAATATTACATGTAAATATAAAACTCTTTCTTAATTTTTAATAATACATAATCCATCAATCTACTATTTTAAAATACATTTTTA